ATATAGCCATACGGTTAGAATTGCACTGAATAAAATTGCTGCAGGTGGTAAAAACTTAAAACATGAATTTGTCATCGTTATGTTCCAGGTTTATTTTGACAAGTGAATTTTGAAGCACATGAGGTATTCAACAAAAAGTCACATGGACTACTTTGCATGTGAATTACGATGACTACGGTGTGTATATTTCTATCCACTGTTGTGGTGTGTTATGGTAACCACTGTTTTACAACAGGCTACATTGTGTTGGAAGACTGAATGGGTATTCAACAAAAAAAAACAGAATAACACCGGTGATTTTTGAATAACCCATTACGCCAATCCACGTATTGAAACACAAACAAGCATGTACAAACATTGAGATATGGGAGCAGACCATACATGGATTGTGGTAACTCTAAATCCTTTCATCGTGACTCTCAATACCAATGTAGAGATATTACAAGCCCCCACCTGTGATAAAAAAGGCTTGATGAGTCTGTAATTATCATTTCTCACTTTGTCATTGCACCAGCACAAGCCCTGAATTTCTATTATTACAAAATGTCAACGACCGGCCATCGTTTTTGGAGTGTGAGTGGGCCATGGGTGGGTTCTTGCTTTTACAAGAAATACATAATACATGGCGACCAACGCAACATGGTTTGCACTTATGGTTTTGTACTGTTGTCATTCACGATGAACCCAATGTTATAATGTTGTAATACTGAAATTATCCATATCCCTTCGGTCCTCCACACCAAGTTTTTTAAAATATGTTGCCGTTTTTTCATTTGATTATGACCAAAAACATTTCATGACGAAAGATCTTGTTTTCGACTGTTCTCCCACAGACGGTAAAATTTTTACACCATAAATTCAGATGGAATGTTAAATAAAATTATTCCCAAGAAGATAGTTTGTTTTTTCGTCTGACGAAATCTTGTTAAAAATATATAAAAACGTGACACTAATGCTAACTCTGCATATATTGTCTTGAATATACAGACGTACCTGCATACTAAACACATGTTGGAAAACAGTAATATGTTAATGATCACGTATGTATTCAAATGAGGTTCACATAATTCGCCGTTCTGTTACTAAAACTAATAATCTACTGTACACCACTTGACCCCAGCTGATTACATTCATATACATGCTGTAATGATGTACAGTGGGATTTCGTATTCACTACGTTATCGTCAGGGACAACAGGAAAGGTGGAAAATGATAAACAAAGAAAATCTTGTGCAATCTTTTGTGTGACTGATTGTTGATGACATATCTAAAAGATAGTTCTGTCAGTCGATCTCGCTTAAAGAACTAATTCCCACATCAGTTTGCATCTTACAGTTTCAACAAAAATTTAACTCGTACACAAGATCTATCGATATGTGACAATTATTTAAATTCTCATTATTGAACAAACATATCAAACTCTAAATGACAGAGGTGCGTTTATGGTCAAAATAATGTAATAATTTACTATATCTTTGTACTGCGTAATAAATGATTCATGCATGCAGCCTAAACGTTTGACATCATGGCTGAGTATTACAAAATACACCAGTATCTCAAGACACAGTTTGAATTGATTCCACAATTAGTAATTATGTAACAATTGCATCCCCAAAACTGTAAATATAATTCCTCATCGCAATAGGGTAAATTAGCGGTAATCAACATTTGTGAATGACGATCTTTTACGCAAATGAGCCATAATATTTGACATTGTCTTAAATACACACTCAAAAATAGCGATCACTGCTTTAGATTTCAGGCTTTAGAAGCTACGAAATGAACACATGGTATAAACAGGATATCAAATTCATGACTTTATTAAACTTAAAGTGTAACTGAATTGGGACAATTGACTTTTTTTGTGTGCAAAATTTATTTATAAAAACAAATTAAATTAAGTAAACGATCAATAATAATGTTC